AGTCTTTTTTACTCCAGATGCTCTGATCTGAAAATTGGAGAAAGGGCTTCTTCCTCGCTGGAACCACGATATGCCCCTTCCTTCCTCCGTCAATGGGCAACTGGCAACAAGCAGGTGGCTTCTGTTGGACCACAGGGTTTGCCTGGCAGGACTAAGGTAACTCTGGGCAGGTGGGTCAGGGCCCCWGAGGAGCAGTGGATTTCCTTCTAGGATCTCAGCATTCCTCCTTTTTCCTGCCCACACTGCAGCATTCTTCCCAGCCACAGTGCTGCTTCCTCTCAAAGCATCCCACCTGGATCCTATTTGTGTGCCTTTGCCACCACAAAATGTCCCCCCCAAGAAATTCTGGGGGTTCCCCACTGACTCTGGTGCTTTCAGGAGCAAAGGGCAGGAACTCCCCACMGCTCTCTTTGCAGGACAAGGCGGTGGGTGTGGAGGGCACTGGCAGGCGGCAGGCCCGGAGCAGATCCCCGCTGTGGGCCAGGGATGTCTGCAGCTGGCTCGTGGAGACCATGGACTGTGACTACTCCAGAAGAAGGAAAACTGGCCCTCTGAGCTGTGCCTATGCTCCCAGGAATGAAGCAGCTTCAGGGCCTTCCAGCAGGAGYTTCCAGTGGGCTCTTGCCCCCAGGGCTGCTCGGGAGCAAGCGCTGCTGAGGCGGAGAGAGCTGAACAGATCCGTGCGCGGGGGCTACGACCTCCGCAGCCGCTTTGTGCAGTACACGGACTACCACCCCTCCCCGAGGAAGAGGAGGAGGCAGAGGACAAATCCTCCATGCTGTGACCAAACCCCTGTGGACAGTGCAGTCCCAGGRCCCTCCAGCAGCAGCCTGAAGCAGGCTCCCATGCTGGGGGCTGCTGAGGAGCAAACCCGACCGAGGCTGAGAGAGCAGAGATCCCCGCGCCGGGGCTGCGGTCTCTGCATCCAGTTCATGCAGTGCACTGCCCTCCGCCCCTCGCTGAGCAAGAGGAAGAGGGGGAGAGCAAATCCTCYACGTTGTGGCAAAGCCCCAGTGGATAATGCAGTCCCAGGGCCCTCCAGCAGCAGCTTGAAGCAGCCTCCCAAGCTCAGGGCTGCTCGGGAGCAAAGCAGGCCAAGGCTGAGAGAGCGGAGAAGATTCCCCCAGCTGGGCTATGAGATCCGCAGCCCATCTGGGCAGAACACAGGCCACCACCCTTCAGCGAGGAAGAGGAGGCTTTCCCTGCACCAGAGATGCACGTCAAACAAGCACTCAGGGCTCTCTGGGAGTGTTGGGGTCAGATTGTGGCCCTGGCTCAAGCAGAATGGAAGATTAGCACTGCGTTTATTAGCAAAGGTGTCCGTTGTTTTCTATATGTCTTCTCAGAGATGAGCCAACAATTTATTTAAATGGATGATGCTGCTAATGATTAGATTAAAAGGCTTATTTATTCCACAGTGGAGATAGTTATAGCTGCTAATATAGCACAGTATTTGGAAGCAATATTGAAGCAATTATATTAAAGYCAGAAAAATAAATGTTAAATAGAGACAGATATAACTTACCCTTGCCAACCACCCTGGAAAGTCTCTCTTTCTCAGTCTCAAGGAGTAACTTTGATGGGTGTCCCCACTCCAGGGAGGAATTTCCACACACACACACTGAGAAGGGGAGTGTTAGAAATCTGTCCTGTTAAAGAGTGGGACAGGGCTTTTATGGTACAAAGGGATGAACTCTCAGCCAGGTGCTGCTCAGGGAGCTGGAGCAGGATGCTCTGCCTAAGCAGGGATACAGCAGCTCCACTGTGTCTTGTTTACAACTCACCAGAAATGGCTTGAGCAAGGAGAATCTGCTGATTTTGGTGTTAAAGAATACTAAGAACAGCTTGATCAAACTATCACACCGACCCTTTCACTGAAAACATCAGGAGAAATCAAGCTCTCTAATGCTACTTTTGGTATTAGAAAACATTATTTTATTACGGTGCTGGGTGGGATCATTCCTGTAAACATGCACACACTCCTTCAAAACTTTCCATTATTTMTACATTTCAGCAAACAATGTTCATTGGCTATAAATTGCATAACACTCTTCATTAATTACTGTTCTGTTTTCTAYTGGTTATTAAYTTCTTSCTTCTCATGCTAATTCATCCACRTTTTCAGTCTTTTTATTGTCTTTTTCTCAGAGAGGTATYGTGGTTTAARCCCAGATGGRAATTAAGCACCATGCAGTTTCTTGCTCAACCACCTCTTCTTTCCCCCCACCCTGGGGGAGGAGATTTGAAGTAAAGCTTGTTTGGTGAATTAAGAACAGTTTAAGAGTTGAAAAGAAAGTAAAATACAACAATAGTAGTAAATAATAATGGTAATGTAATGGAACAAGTGATGCACAGTGCAACTGCACACCACCTGGGCAACTCCTCCCAGTTTCTGTAGCAGGCACTATTTTCCATGGTGTGGAATGTGYCTTTGGTCAGTTCAGGTCACCTGGCCCAGCTTTGCTTCCTCTCAGTTTCTGTTATGAACCTTCTCCATACTGGCAGAGCAGGAGACAAGGAAAAAAACCCCTTAATTTAGAATAAACATGATTTACCAAAACACAAAACATCAATGTGTTATCAACACCATTCTCATTCTGAATCCAAAATGCAGCACTGGAACAGCTRCTGAGAAGAAATGAACTCTGCCCTGGCTGAATCCAGGACCACAGGGTTACAGTTCAATTGTTGAATTGTATTTATTAGTTTCCTCTTCATCTCAGGGTTCTGCAAAATGTCCTTGTGGTTCATAAATTCTGCATTTCTTGTGTTCAGCTTCAGCAATTCCCTCTTCCAGCTCTGAGATTTTTGGAGGATATCAAGGTTGATTATAATTGTTTGAGTAAAACTCAAAGCTGCAGGAATTTTCCCCAAGCTGCGTTCCCACTGTAGCAGCTTATGGCAAACGTTGCTAAATGTTGGCTGCAGTGGCATAAGACAGAGTGGAAAATTACACTGCTTATTAATTAAAATTAAATTAAAATTAATTAAAACAATTCATTAGAAAAATTAATTAAAGCAATTAATTAGAAAAGTAATTAGCAAAGTTACATCATTTCCAACACCATGAGCACACTCAAAACAGGTATCTTGATCTGAGAGCAGGAGCAGCAGGGATGGCCAGGCCCTCACATGGAAGTGAGAGTCAAAAATGTCAAGTGGAAAAAATCAAAGAGCTTCTGACACCTTTTTCAGCAGCAAAGTGTATAAAGCTGACAATATATTACCTAAAAATGTCARTGGCTGGCAGCCAATCACTTTGTGCTATAAAGAGGCAGTCCTACTTTTGCACAACAAGAACTGCCAGCATCCTTCCCTCAGGTGTGTGAAGATCCCTCCCCTGAGCAGGGAAGCCCCTTAAAGTCACTTCTCAAGGCTGAGCAAAATAAATTTTGGGTAACGTGGATCTCTGCTTAATAATTGTTTTGCWAGATTTAATGTAATTGCCTCTACATTGCTCCAAAAACAGTGCTCTATACTGTACTAGTAGTTATGGCTACCTGTACTATGTAGCAAATAATTCTGATTAAATTATTTTGCCTGATCATTGCAATCAATTGAAATAAATTGAAATAAATACTTCATTTTACTTATATA